ACCTCATTCATCAGTGGGCCTACATTGCCTCAAGTGCTACATTTCTTCAAGTGCTTAAATGGGAGCAAGGCAACTTTATCTGTGAATGTTTAATTTAGAGTAATTTAGCTGTTTCTTAATGTAGAAATGAGGCCTAATGGACAGAGCCATTAAAATGCACTCTGTAAGAATGTGGAATAGTCCTAACCTTAAAAGTAAGGTACAGAAATCAACAGTTTCAAAACTTGCCAGAGAAATAATCTGAAAAATTTTAAAGAGCAGTAGAAGAATTAAATCCTGGCAACTTTTTTTCTAGTTATCTTTCTGAATGTTTGCATGGATTTTGCATGGATGCCTGCATAGAGCTGTCCTTTTGGTCAATATACATAGAAATTCTACAGGTAGTTGATAGTGTTTTAATGTTGGAATGGTGATGGCATGAAGCACTTCACTGGGGTTTTGGTGCCACTTGTCAGTGCTACATGTAGTGGATTGTTTTGTGAATAACATCGTTGTGTCCTAGCAGATAATCAACATGGTAGCCAAGATGTGAAGTTAATGATATGATACCATTCTAATAGTTAGTGGGTAATGGACAGTTTACTTTCAGGTAGCTTTCTCTACAAAAGGACACAAAAATCTTAATAAAAATGGTATGTGAAATCTTTAGCATTTTTTTTTACAGCTATGACTTTGAAGGGATTTTTTCTTAAAGGCTTTCTTATATAAATAAAAATTTTTAAAAATCCTTGAAAAGTATAAACACTTTGTAGTGGTAGTCTCAAATAAGTTGTTGCAAATTCAGCTGATTTACTTTAAGCAAAAGGTTCATTAGATGTGGGTAAATCAGTGGGAAACCTTGCACTGATTTAATGGGCCAGTTTTTTCAGCCTACTATTGAATGGGCATTAGCAGGGAAGGCTGTTAGCTTTTCAGTGTGTTTACTTAAGTTGTTGTTAATTCCTGGTACAAATTACACTTCAGATCGCTTTTTTTTTTTTTTTTTTTTTTTTTCAGGGCATACAGGACATGCTGCTGATATGAATATGTTTTTAGATGATCCAGAATTTGCAGAAATTATTCTGAGAGCAGAACAAGCTATAGAGTGTGGAGTGTTTCCAGAAAGAATCTCTCAAGGGTCCAGTGGGAGTTACTTTGCCAAGGATCCAAAAGGGGTGAGTATGTTACTACCAAGTCAGAGACACTATCGGCAAGGAGTTTAAAATAGAAATATTAAAATTCTATTTAAATGGGAATTCATTTAGATAAGTTGTGTAACAATTTATGGGATGCCAAAACCTATGTTGGAAAAATCAACGTGAGTAATATTTAGATTTCTAATTATGTCTTGCAGCATAAGCTAAGCCAAAATAACTATTATGTCTCTGTTGCAGTTTTACCGTGTTTTAAATTATCTGCATCAAAGAAATATGGAGAAAATAAAAGGGCTTTTTTAACATCTGAAAACAATTCAGGAATCCCCTTGTGCAGAATCTAACATTTTGTTCTTTGTATGTTTTAATTAATTTGTGACATAACCGAGCTTATGATTTGAGTACTGTTTAGGTTTATTTAGTCAAGTCTCCTATATTTTTCTCTCTTTTCTTCTTAAATAGTCTTTCAGTTAGGTTGTGTCTCCTCCCTTCTGTATGATTGCTAGATGGGCAAGAGTGATATAAACAAATCTACCTTTTTACTTTGCTGAATCACAACTTGAAGATTTGGTTTCCCCTCCCATAGTGGTAAATGGTACCTTGAATAGTGGTCATCCAAGAGGTGTCCTAAGGTTACTTTGAGACAGAGAAGTAACAGTTACCTGAATATCTTGCCTGAGAACTAGTATTTGGTTAGCACTATTTAGTAAGAGGAAATAGTGCTTCAGACATACTTTCACATCGTTTTCTTTAAATCAAAAATACTTTGTCTGCTTACCAACTTGTTCCAAAAAAGAGGGCTCCCAACGCCCACACCTTTGTTGATTTGTTGTATCTGCATTTATTTTAAGCTCAATCAGCAGTCTTCTGGGCTTGGGTAGACGTAGGTGTTCATTAATCCTGAAGATCCCAGTTGTGTTGGACATGGAAGTTGTAACACTGTAAGTGCCTTGGTTTTCAGAAGATATTCAAGATTGTTCTTCCCTTCTCCAGAATGTTAATTTTCCATTCGTTTAGGGAATACGTTATTTGTTGTTTAGCTTTTATTCATATAATTGGTCATTATAGAATATATTCCTGTTTTGCCTCTTAATTTTCATAGGTGTTTGGTTTGTTTTAATGCCACTTTTCTGGTGATAGTTTTTATACTTCATTGAATAAGTGATTTTTAGAATAGCTACCTGACTTAATACAAATAAATATCTGAATTTATGAATTTATTTCTAAGGTAGAAAGTGGCAGAACTACCCCTTCAGAATATTCTAAGAACTGCAAACTGCAGTTCATACTGCAGTTTTCCAGGAAAGTTTGCTAGTAATGACCCTCTTCGTTCTGCTGGAGGAGAGCCAAAGTAGGTTGGGAAGGAGGGGCTCTCTGTGAAACTGGAAGGAAAAAACAAATTCTTTCTTTAATTGCTTTGTGGGATTCTTGCTGTTGCATACAAAGCTGTGTAAACCTGTTCAAAGTTTCAGCAGACTTCTTAAACCTCAGTTGACTTCCCTGCTTCAGTAGTTTAGTTCTTTGTAGGTTTCCAGGTTGTATGCCTGTATATACATATTCAAACTTTATACTGTTTTTAAAGAGATAAGAAAAAATCTGAGTAAGCAACCAAATACTGCTTTGAATCAATACTTTTTCAAAAAGGCAGTGCATGGCGTGTCTAAAGAGTGTCCTGCAGTGTTATACTAAAAATGCTTTTAAACTGGTTAAGTGGTTTTTTTGGTGTTGTGGAACTAAATTTCTTTTCTTTTTAGAAAGTTAGTTAGTAGAGAAATTACTGGGGGGAAAAAAAAGTCATATTTGTTCTGAGTTTCCATATGTGCAAATTTGTTTTGTCCAAAGCCTCTCCTCCCAGATAGATTTTGTAGTTTTTTGGTGACTAGCAAGTGTCTGGGAGACTCACTGTGCCCTGGGACTAACGAGAGGGTACTTACACATGATTTTTGTAACCATAGCATTTTGAATGGAGCACCTTATTTCTTTGTTTCTTACATGGTGATTTTCTTGTTGGTTTTACTTCTGTTTTCTGGTGAAGTGTTGTTTTTGTTCCTAGTAGACACTTGCTCTCCCCCTTCATCCAGGTCATTGATTTGAATGCAAGTATTTAAGAGAAGTAAAGACTAAAAAAAACGGGCCAGCAAAATTACTTTGCAAAATATGAAAGTATTTGCCAACAGGGGACTGTGACAATAATGATACTGAGTTCCTAGCTGACTTTATTCTTTGCACTAAATTTAGAGCTTATCTAAATTTGTTATCTATATTAAAGGTCTGATAAAACTCCGTTTTGTCAATAGCGCAACTCCCATTTGTAGAATGGATTTCACATCCTATTTGACAAGAGTATTGCATCATGTTGTTCAGACCAGTTTTGTGACTTGCTTTCTCCTATTCTTCTTGAGTAATCTGATCTTCCCTATGCTGGGAAAGAGCTTATTAAAGATGTGCTAAGCCTTCTTACTGGTCAGCTTCTGAAGTGTTTGCCTACACTAACACCACGTTACAGGTAAAATAACCTGTTTCCATGAGGTAATCTTAATCGCTGATTCGGCTCTGTCAGAAAGATAAAACTAAAATTGCCTAATTAAAGTTATTAACTTTTTATATTTATTGGCATAGCTGTATGCTGACACGAAGCAGTTCAGTACATAAGCAGCACTATTGCCTGTTTCTGCATTTATTGTTGGTTGTGTAAACAATAAAGTAAAAGACATTGTGTCTGTTACAAACTGTTCTGCAACTGTGTTTTTGACAGTTTAGCCATTGGCTAATTGGTAATGCAAATAGAGTCGGTTTAGAAATTAATTTTGACTTGCAAAATTAAGACTGGCCTTGGTAGGTTGTCTACATATTGGGCTTTCTGGTTCTACTCTGGTCCTCAACAGCAGTGGCTCTGCAAAATTTACCAAGGTTCTAACTTCAATGAAACCTTTAAAACCATATCTAGATTTGATAGTATAGCACAGTGCGATCCAGGCACGTAATGGAATGAGTTAAGCTCTTTTTTTAAAATGGAAGTATTATTCAAAGAGTGATTCAGAAAAGAGGTAACTAATAAATACACCACTGGGAAGTGAAAAGCTGATAGCTTTGTTTTGAGCAAGTAGGTACCTGTGATTCAATAGGAAAAAATGAAATAACTCTTTAAAAATTTGAAACCTAACATCAGAATTTTGACTAAAGTAGTACACCATGGAAAATCAGTTTCCAAAGTATTGTGATTTAAAAAAAAAAAAAAAGTGCTCAGAGAACATTCTGGCCTTTCATGTTACATAGAATATTTATTCTAAGTATAACTTTTTCTGTAGGTCTAAATTGCATTATGTCTGTGCAGCTGCATAGACCTTGCTCAGGATTTTGAATGTAACCTTAGAATCACAGACAGTAGCATGGTGAAAGAATGAGAGTTATTGTCCATTTGTTTCATGCCTCTGTTGATAGGAAAGTTATTTTATAGGATAAATTCAAGTTATTATATTTTGTTTCTCCTGGTAGTTGATGGGAATAATTCAAAGTAGATGGACAAGACAAGTGATGCTACTAATGCCTGGTGTCTCCTGTAATCTGTTTACAAACAGAATGAAATAAGCTCTTTGTAGTTAGTTTGTCTTGGACAGTCTCATATTTGTTAGATTGTATTGGGCAAAGCAGGTGAAAATTCTGTAGAAGCTAGAACAATTCTTCAGATCCTCTCCCTAATCTGGTTGAATCAGCAGTTACTGAAGCAGAACGCTGGTTTCTGAATGGCAGCAAACTTGTTCATGACTTAAGAGTGTAAATCAGCTACAAGTGTTGGTGCAACAACAGGCAGTGTTTCATTTATTGAGATACTCACTTTTTTGGTAAGGATTCAGGAAAGTACTAATATGTGAAAATTCTTCTTAAACATTTGTTCTTAGTATTATTAGATAAGAATTTAATTACTTACCGTGGTCCTGTGAAGGGAATAGATAAGATAAAGCATTTTACTTGAGCTAGGCTAAAGTTTATCACAGACAGTTGAAAGGTTTTATATTTTAGTGTGGTAATAATCTTATGGGTTGAGGTTCACAAATACAGAGTCACATGTAGGAGGCGCCTTGAGAAATCAACTACTTAATGCCTGTGTTGTGGAGCAGGATCATCTGACATGATTCCTGAGGAATGTCTGACTAACCTGTTGTTAGTGGCAGCCTGTTTTGGAGACTCCATAATTGTCAGTCTGTTCCAGTCTTGAGCTGCTCTTAAGGTTCAAAAGTGGGGGGGTTTTTTGTTTGTTTGGTGGTTGTTGGTGTTTGTGTTTTTTGTTTGGTTGGGTTTGGGTTTTTTTGCAACTTATCTGCTGGGATTTGAGCCTATCATTTATTGGTTCATGAACAGTAAATGTGTTATTCCTTTTTTCTCTATAGCAACCTATTACATAGTTCATCGTGCCCCATTTTCTCTCAGGCTAAGCAGTCCCTGTTCATACAGTCTTTCATTACTCACATTTTTTGTGCTTGTTCTCATTGTTTTTTCGACTTTCTCCAGTCTGTTAACAGATTTCTTGAAGCATAGTGTCCGAAATTGGACACAGTACTCTGGAGTAATTTTAAGCTTTACTACATGTCTCCAGTGTAGTAAATTCCACCAATGGTGGCTGATAGTGTGAACGATTGTCAGCTTTGAGTTGAGGAATCTACAGCAGTGGTAGACCACACCACTCTCTGGAATTGCAAAGTGCAGAACACTTTGATCCATTCTAAATAAAATAGATACAAAAGAGAAAAGATAACATTCACTTATTAGCATTCTGTATGTTTGTCCCTTTCTGGAACTGTTGTGTCTCTGAAGTATCTTCTCAATGCATTAATTGGTGGGCTGAAAATGATTGAAAAACTACTTTCAAAACCTCTGTTTTTAAAAACTTAGGATATAAAAAGTACATTCTAAAATGCAGCCCTATAATTTTGAAAAACCTAGTAAATATTAGCTGGTTTTGATTTTTCTCTTATGAAGAGGTTGTTTTGAATTTGTACTACTTCAAGGCAAGCATTTGATGATAAATTTATTTGGAATACCGTTTTATTATTTTGTCATCTAAAAAGAGCAATTGTAAAATGCAGTGTATAGCATTTGACCAGTACTTTCAAGTAACTAATTTTCAAAATAATTTTAGTCTCTTGCAACTCAAAGCATTCATACTTTAGTTTTATTTTATTTTTTTTTATCCTAGAAAATTATTGGAGTGTTCAAACCAAAATCTGAAGAGCCTTATGGACATCTAAATCCAAAATGGACCAAATATTTTCACAAAGTTTGTTGTCCTTGCTGCTTTGGCAGAGGCTGCCTCGTTCCAAATCAGGGATACCTCTCTGAAGCTGGTGCCTATCTTGTGGATGACAAGCTGGGACTAGGAGTTGTACCTAAAACTAAGGTAAAAGTTAGAATACATAAATTATTGAATGCAAAAAATATATATAGTGACAGATTGGTCAGTCTCTGGACTGTAGTTGTGGAGACATCCTTTTACATCATGCATTATCCCTAAGTCATTTAGAAACTATTGCAAGTCCAAAGGCACAGTGGTTTGTTGTAGAAATAGTGACTGGGCTTTTTGTTTTAAAGGATAAATTTGTGATATGAATTTAATTTCTTTTTTGGAACTACTTCAGTTTCTATCATTTTCTGACACTTTTGTGCCTTATGTTTTAGTGGGATGCATCAGAATTGCAAAAAGCAGCATATAAAGGTTCCCACTTTGGCCACATTTTTGTTTGAGATACATAAAATAACAAATATTCACCTTTACACGTACAGTTTGTCCATTGGAAATGCCTGGTGCTTTCTTTTTGCTTTTTTTACCAACTAAGCATAAAATTTACTGTAAATTTATAATTGAAGTAATAAGGAATTCTGAGCTATGTTTTTAACTTTCATATTTTAAGGTTGTCTGGCTTGTCAGTGAAACCTTTAATTACAGTGCAATAGATCGTGCAAAGTCAAGAGGAAAAAAATACGCTTTAGAGAAAGTGCCAAAAGTTGCTAAAAAATTTAATCGAATTGGACTACCTCCTAAGGTAAGAGGAAAAATGAGTATTTTGTGCATTTCCTGATTCTTACACAAAACTTTGGATTAAAAAAAAAGTAAATAATATTTATAGGTAACTTCAACAGTAGAAGAAAAACCTTATTGCTTGTTGAGAACTGTCTCTGCATGGCTGAGATTTGGTAAATATTGCTGTTTCTATGCAAAATCTATCCATTCTGTAAGATCATTCCTTCATTTGAACTACTTCAATAATCTTGCAACTGCTTGTATCAGTTTGCAGTCCAGCTTTCTGCTGGACAAGTAACATGTTAAAATGTTTTACATCTCTATTTTTTTTTCTTTTTCTTGACTGTTTAGTACATTTCCCTTAAGTGTCGTATTCTTATATTGTCTAATTGTTTCTCCTGTGCAGTTTATCTAGTTCTTTAATTTTTCCTAAATCTTTAATTTTTTTCCCCTTCTATTGTTTGTTTTATTCTTTTAGATAGCCTGTTTGTGTGTTCATCCTGCCTTCCTTTCATCTTGTGTGCAGTTCTCCACTAACTAAAACATCACGTCTTTCTTGCCTAATGAGCCTTGTTGTATCCCCAAAATACCACCACAGTGTTCTACTCCTAAACTTTTAAAACACTGGTTATATACAGCTTGGGTAATCCACTTGTGTCAGTTCCCAGCGGTTTTGATCCATGTGCAAGCTTCTATCCGTGTGGTTATTCCACATGCTCTGTGTTTATCCCTGTCTCTGCACTTGTACATCTATCTGCATTTTACTTCTCAAATATAGGTCAAATATATATTTTAATCTCAGGCACCTTTCCTGTTGCCCAGACATACAGAGCCTATGCCATCTCTAGTTTTCTTCCTTGGACTCTTTTGGGAATGTATTTCAGCCATTTTCATGCAAAAAGTCTGTCTTGAAAAAATGGTTAATGCTGCTCTTCTCATCAATGAAACATACAAGCTTTTCAGAGAGGAAGATTTTTCTCCTGTAATTTTTAGTGAGTTTCCTATTAACTATTGAACCAAATGCTTCCAGTGAAAAAGAGAATAGATGTTATTTATTTCACTTTGTTTCAAATATTGCTCCTAATACTGAGTGTTCATTTGTGTGGAGCTGTCTAGCTACATTTTATTGGTAGTAAACTCAGTGAGTGCTTAAACAAATATTTTAAAAACAGGAACCAAACAAACCATACCACCAAAAACCCAGAAAAAAACATAATGATTTGAGTTTACTTTTTTAGAATTTAGGAATGATAGAGAAACCACTTAGTAATCTGGGGGTTTTTTTGGGGGGGTTTTAATGATATACTTCCTGTGTTCGAGCTTTGAAAGTATATAATAATCTTTCTGTTAAGATTGGTTGTGTCACCTACCCAAGAGCATTTTCTGAATGCAGTTTCTTGATGTTTCAGGTTGGCTCCTTCCAGCTGTTTGTTGAAGGGTATAAGGAAGCTGACTACTGGCTCAGGAAGTTTGAAACTGATCCTTTACCTGAGAACACAAGGAAAGAATTTCAGTCACAGTTTGAAAGACTGGTTATCTTGGATTATGTCATCAGAAATACAGGTATTTGTTAGTCTCTCTCAGTACCTACGTACTTTTGTGAGGCAGAAATAGTAAGCAATGCTGACTGAAAGCTCTTGGTGGAGGCTTTTAATGCATTTTGGATGTGTTTTTCACAATTGAAGGCCAGAATGTTGCATTTTAAAATTTAAAAAATTTACTTTGGATTCAAACATGAAATATTATAATATGACAACATCCAAACAACCCTTTTTGGCTGTTATTTGATAGTTTTAAGCAATGCAAGAATTCAAGAACAAATACTTTCATTATGTTTTAATTCTATCAGTAGGCTATTAACTGTCTGTTTCACCTGATTAGCTTCAGGGGTGGTGAGGTTTCAGGAACCATAAGAAGAGCCATGACTACCATTCCTTTTATGGAAGGACACAGCAGCACAGTTTTGCATCAGTGCAAAATAGTTCATATTCATTGTGACTAGACACTGAAGTACAACCGTGGTGTATACCTGTCAGTTCTTCTGCATTCTTGTTTCTTTCACTCAGAAGCTGGGATTCTTCTGTTGACTATGCAAGTGATTTATTTCCTCAAGAATCCAAAGGCAGTTTTATATTTAAAATACTTCATTTGCTGCTTTGTCAGAGGTTGACATCTTTACTGTTCCTCAGACATACCAGCTCTGGTTCATTTTCTTTTCTTAAACTCACTTATTAGAAAGCAATCTAGCTGAAAATAAGTCACTCTAACCCGCAGCTTTTTAGAAGCACACTAAAAAGAAAGGTTCATAAGAACGTATTACTTTCTAGCTGCTGCTATGGTCTGTCAGCTTTATCAAATAGATCCCAGTGTTTCCAGACAATTGTTGTGTCCTGTGATGTTCTTAAAATTGTAAGAAAAATACTCAAAATGCAAACCTCGTTACATGGGTGATTTTAGCTTAATCTAATGTATCTAACGTGATAGAACATGAAAATCTTCTGATAGATGTTTATCTAAACTTAAGGGAGCACCTTAAGATGACAGAAGGACTTACAAATCCATGCAGTCATCCTCTGTCTGAAGGACCTTGTCAAAGCCTTCAGTATCTCAATTTTGTCTGAACAGTGCAGATATAGATAGATTTTTTTTTTTTTTCCCTCCCTCTATCTTTGAAGAGTCTGTTTTCTTCACGTAGGTAAACATCGCACTGTCTGTATTTTTGGAGGGCCTTTCCTGTTCCCCATCAGTATTAAAACAAGCTTAAAAATTAAGTCATTGTGGTTGCTGCTGCTGACAGTCTTTTCCTCAGGAAAAGTGCACGCTACAGCCAATCATTCTGCATAATATGGATGAAAATAGTTTCTCTTGGCTTTCTTGATACTTTGCTCTATATTAATCCACTTGGGGAAACTAAAGCAGTAATACATACTTAAGAACACTTGGTAGATTTTTGCTCTTTCCAGTAAATCAGTTGTCTCTGACATTTCAGTAAAGCTAAAACACATGTATTGGGATGGAAGAAACTTTTTTGAACAGTTTTGCCTGACTCATTTGGTAGACTCTCAATTTACAATATTAGTCATTGTGTATCACTTTAGATGATGATTTCTTTATAAATGATGTGTTGTGACATGCATTTTCCTGTTTAAAGACAGAGGTAACGATAACTGGTTAGTCAGGTATGAAAAACAAGATGATGGACTTGATCTGTCAGATAAGGTAAGAAAATTGTACTCTGAAACTTATATCCTTTAAGTTGTTTACTTTTATAACTTGGTCTTGCAGGGTTGTAAGTGCATGGCTTTAGTCCTGGTGCACGGTATCAAGAAATATGACTGAATTATTCTAGGCAAAATGAATGGAAAAGCTATTTGGATTAGACTAGTGTGGATAGAACAGTGCTAGAAGTTATTTTTATTAGTCTGTATTATTTCTTTACTTGCTTGGGCTATAAAAATAAAACTGCCCACTGTTGCTCAAGCATGCTTCTTCAGCTATTTATGTGCTCTGCTTATCTTGTATTTGGGGGAAGGACTCCTTTTTAATGGTGGTAGAGTAAGAATTGTATGTGCTGGACTTTATCTGGATACTCCTTTGTATTGTATAAGTTGGCTAAGCAGTGAAGCTAAAAGGTATATTATTTAGTATCTTTAATGTATTTTGCTATTCTTGTAAGCACATAGGTATCACTTTTTAAAAAATATTCCTTCCATAGGATAGCCAATGGACTATAACTGAAGAATCTACTATTAAAATTGCTGCAATTGACAATGGTTTAGCATTTCCATTTAAGCATCCTGATGAGTGGAGGGCATGTAAGTGTTGCATTCTTCAGTCATCTTCCTTTGGGAGAGTAAATTCTAAATAAGTGGTTTTTGTTTTGGTTGTAGTAAGAAATTAAGAAATCATCACTGTAGTTATATATTGAATTTTTAAATAGTGTACTTTTCTTCAGAAAAATAGCAACAAATGCCATTTTTGCAGTGGCATATGTGATCTAGTCCTTGTTCATATTTTTTTTACCCTTGTACCTTTAAACACTATTAATACATGGATATTCTTTAACACACCACTGTACGTAAACTGAATGATGATGGAATTGGGAAAACTTAGCAAAGTGTTTCTCATGTGCGTTTTCTTGAAAACCATGGTGGAAAGTTGAGTGCAAGGATATGCAAGTTGTCTCTCCAATAGCCTATTTCAAAACAAAGGGTACTGTTGTAGGTGAACAAGTAGACAAATTGCATGTTATTTTTACTTGTTCTTAGCTTTATTACTTTGTAGAAGTTAATCTTTAGTTAGTATGTTTGATCAGACTGAAAATTGGAATTACTGTTAAAGCTGGATTGCTTCTGACCACATCTCTGACCCCTTATAATTTAGAGGGAAATGCCCAACAGGGTTTACAGTTATTTCTGTGGACTATAACCCAATCAGGTAATCATGGCAGTTAAGTGTGGAATAGTTTTACTGTTAAAAGGCTAGTTAATTACCCCACCCAGAGCTCTGTATAGTCCCAGACATCTTGTTACTGTCCTAAGTATCTCTTGGCTACAGTCACTTCTGCAGCTGTTCTAGAGACATGGCAATTCTTGCTTACTTTATACCATCTTTTACTTTTGCTCAAAAGTAATAAACTTGACTGTTCCTTTAGAATTATTTTGCAGTTGGACAAGTGCGTGACAATTCTGTAAACTTGTAGCATAATGATGTTTAAAATTGCCGCCTTTTAAGGGGTAAAGCTGGTTGATTGTCAAGGATAACCTCCTCAAAGCCAGAGAACAGCCTATCCGAAAGGCAGGAAGTTGGTCCAGCATGAATGAACAGGGAACTCTGACTGAACTGGGACACAAGAATTAAGTACACAACAAAATGGATGTGGAGACTCCCCTGGAAAAATAGAGTCTTTGTCCAGAAGTGCAAAAAGAGTGTCTGGAAAATCAAAGCTCAGCTAGAGTTGAGCTAGCAGAGGACATAAAAGGAAACAAGAAAGGGTTAAGTATATTAGATGCGAGAATGGGACTGAAGAAAAGAGCAGCAGGAACCAAAAGGCATAATAAAGAACAAGTTTTTCAATGCTGACTTTGCCTCAGTTTTCACTTGCAAGATTTGCTCTTAGGCTTTTAGGTCTCAGAGCTCATAAGCAGTCTGTGGGAATGCATTGTTATCCAAAGCAGAAGGAAGGGAGCACTTAAGCAAAACAGACATACAGAAGTTCATAGGAGTAGGTGGGATACATTGGAAACACAAAGGGAGCTGGCTGATGTCATTGTGAGGCTGTTTTCTCATCGCTCTGGAAAGACTAGTGATGTAGGAGGTTGCTGATGACTAGAAGAAGGTATCACATCCATCTTCAAGAAGGGCAAGATGCAGGGCACAGGGAATGACGGGGTAGCCTAACCTCAGTCCCCATGAAGACTGTGGAATGGATCCTTCTGGAAGCCATGTTTGCTCATATGAGGAAGGAGGTGATGGGGAAGCCAGCGTGGGTTTCCCAAGGGCAAACTATGCTTGACTGACCAGACTGGTGACTGGTTCAGTGGATGAGAGGAGGGCAGTGAATATAGATTTTCCTTGACTTTTGCAAGGCCTTTTGTGTGGTCTCTCATAGTAGTCTTGTAGTGAAACATGCGATGTGAACTGGACAAACAGACTGTGAGGTGGGTGGAAAACTGGCTGGACTGTCAGGGCTGTGAGCAGCGTCAGGAAGGTCAATGGGCAGCCTGATACGGGTGACGTTCCTCACTTCCTGCAACTGGTACTGTTTGGTGTCTTGTTTAACATCTTAGAATAGATCTTGAAACAGCTGTTTAATAGCAGTTACGTAAAAAACTAAGAATGTTTTTCTCAGCAGCTTGAAAGGTGGCATTTTAGTAAACTAAAAAGTTTATTGAAAATAATAGCTAGTTTTCTGTTAATTCTTCAGTATGATCAAACACCTGAAAGATTTCTATTTGATTGCAGCCATTATTTTACTCCAAAGAAAACTGCACTACTAAACTAGGAGAAGGCATCTACTGTTGCTTAAAGTATTTTAAATTAAATACCTTACTGCTTCAACTAAATATTTTTGTACTTAAAATATATTTTCACTGTTTGGAAAAAAAGGCTAAGTAGCTGTAAAGCTGCTTTTGTAACTGTAGCCAAAAGAGGTACAGTTACAGGGGTAACAATGTTGTAAAAAATGGTGTGTTACTGAGATCTTCCAGTGGGCAGTGGAGTATTGCATCAGTGGTGAGCACTTTCATTTTTGCCTGTTAAATCATGAAGTGTATTGTTTTTCTGCATTAGATCCCTTCCACTGGGCTTGGCTTCCTCAAGCAAAAGTTCCTTTCTCTCAGGAGACCAGAGACTTAGTTCTTCCTCGCATTTCTGATATGAACTTTGTACAGGATCTCTGTGAAGATCTTTATGAACTATTTAAGGTGAATCGAGTGCTTCTTTGAATTGACTGTTACTGAAACAGCTAATACCTGTAATGGAAGAGTGAGATGGCTTTTCTTTTTATGAATTTCACTTCTGTATGTCATGATGCTGTGCTGTTTTAGCTTTAACACTGGCATGGTAGAAAGGGTTTATATAATTAAGGGGAAACTGTGTCACTAATGTGGCATAGTGCTGATAGTAATCAGGTCATCTGAAAACACAATTACCTTTTATATATCTAGGATTCACGTAATCAATTAAAGCTAATTAACTTTTATAACACAAATCTGTGTAAAAATTCCATTTAACATACCTGTGTGCTGTGTATACACTTAAGATAAACTGTAGCAACCTGACGAAATAATGTATTTAATGTAACTTAAAGTACCTGCATAACTCGCATATATACTTAATTTTACGTACATATATTGTGTGAAGTCGATGCTGAAATCTTGACCATGTTTAAAGTAAGTCAAAGTTACTTTAAATATACTGAAAATGTGCTACAAAATTGACATGTAAAGTTCCTTCTTTCAAATATTCCATAAACAGTTGTGTGAGATGTTCAAGTGAAATCATCCAAATAATCAGGGTGGAAGGAAATGAAATTTTAAGCTTTTAATGAAAATGCAGCTGTAAGGTCAGAACTAGATCCTGAAACGCATTCACAGTATTCTTGTCTTTGACTCACTTGACTTCAAAGTGACTCTGGGTTGTCTGTTAAAGCCAGTGGAAGTTGAAGTATTTGATAGTTGTGAAGGAGGAAGTATTCTTTTGCCAGAGCAAAGGTGAGAGGCAGAGCGCTGTAACATGGTGTGATGGTATTAAGCCTACCTGCCAATGCCTTAAAATGGTATCCACTGGTGTAGTTTACTTTTATGGTGTGGAACATCCTTCGTTGCCACATATGTGAACTTCCTGCAATAAATAGACCTTTTCATGGATCATACCATGACTCTTTGAAGCTTCCAAAAATTATTACAGTATTGGTAAATATGACTGTGTATTATGAAATTGATGAATTTGCATGCTAAATATATAGCTAAAAATAAGTAGGTCATTTCATATAATAACTGTTTGTTTTCTTTAATAAAGACGGATAAAGGATTTGACAAGGCTACCTTTGAAAACCAAATGTCTGTTATGAGGGGGCAGGTAAGACTGCTTTTTTACATTTTCATTTATGTATTTAATTTGTCATCATTTCTCAGCTGTTTTTTTAGAGCAATAAAAACTGACTTGTATTGAATTGAAAGACACATGAAGATATTTTCATCTGAGAAGACAAATTCTTTCTAGAGTTTGTTCTTATTTGTATACAGATGAGACAGCAGAAAGTCTATACTGATTTTTAAAAATTTATTTTTATAGAAAAAGATTTTTGTAAATAGTGTAATTGGGTTTTATTGTTTTTGTGGGGGATAGTGGAGGACTTAATACCTGTATATTCTTAAAGGTATTTTAAAAATGAAACACTGGAGAAGAGTCATAAACTTGGATGGAAAATTTGGTGGGTAATTTAATTATGTTATTAAAATGAAAACAGCTTTATTTTGGAGGGTTAACTTGACTATTGAAATACCTGTCACAAGAAAGCAATATTAGGTAATTAAGTTCCTTCATCCTAGCACATGTCAGAACCATACTTGGAACCAAAGACTAGCAAAATTATGGAGCCATTTTCAGATTAGAAATTTGATGATAATTAAGTGGGGGGGTGTTTTGTTGTTTTTTGAGGGTCTTTTAAACACTGAAACAAGACAGGAGAAGGGTTTTTTCATCTTGCTGTTTTAAAATGTAAGACTGGTGTGATTTACTGGAAAACAAGCTTTAACTAATAAAGTTTAGTTCATTGTAGACATAGTGATTTGTGAAAATGTAAGGGAATTGGACTAGATAAATTAGTAATCCCATTTGCCCTGAATTTATTGAAACTGACTTCTCTGTGTTCATAAATTCAACATGGGTGGTTTAAAGCCAGACACTCACTGTTTCTGGAGTGGCTTAATCTGACCTTTTCTCTGTAGGGTCTCCTATATCAAGAAGTACCTCGCACAAAACTGCAGCGCTGCTTAGTCAAACGTAATCCCAGTTAACATGAGTTATGTGTGGTGGCTAAAAGGCAGCAAAATTTACTTATTAAATTGAATTATAGGAGTTATTTCAGAAATAACTTTTCTGAGAAGTTTGTGCAGTCACTGGAAGGTCATTTCTGAAGCATTCGTCTGTCTCAAACTGTGTTGAATAGCTTTCTTGTGACGAGACAACTGGCTAAAGGGAATCTGTTTTAACAAAAAGCTGAAGGAAAATCCTGATCTGTGTAATTGAGCAGTATTTAGCTAAGGCTGTATAAATTAATTTCCCACCATAAGGGCTGCATCTGGACCCTTTTTTCACACCCTTTCCCTGAGTTTTTGTTTTGATTTGTTTTTTTTATTTCTCTAGCTATACAAGAATGTATTTCACTGTGGGAGATGTCAGGTTTTCAGGCACGGTTTTAGGGAAGAAATGCAGATAATGTGTTATTCTTAGATGTGACTGAAAATACATCAGCAAATGTTGCCATTTAGGACTGATTTTAGACTTGCTTTTGGTGTAAAACTGAAGTATGTTACAAGGGCATTCTAGAGGAGTTGGATATCTAGATCACATGATAATGGATTAATTTGGTTAAAATGAATTTGCAGGATAGTCAAAACACCTGTAAATACATCCTTAAAACTGAAAACTAAGAATTAGAATATTAAGAATCTAGTTGATAAAGGAGACTGAAGAGAAACATATCTTGCATGTTAAGGGGTGGGATCTTTAAATCTAAGGTACCAAAAGGAGTTAGGAGCATATTTTTGTGAAATGGGGGAAAAAAATATTGGGAAGGGTTTCAAATCCAAGATAAACAGTTCTCTCAATTATATAGAGATTAAGTAACCAGGTAGCACAGATCTACAAGGGATTGCCTGAGAACTTGGAAAATGTAAATGTCGGGTGAAGCTGCTGGAAGAGTCAAAATGCAGTAACGTGTGCAAAGGACTTTATCTGTCAGTGTTCTTCAGCCATGGAGGTGAAGAATTGAGCAGGGGATCAGTAAGTTGTGCAAGGAAGAAAGGGGCATTGTGCTGGGGAAAAAAAGGCTTGATATTAAGGATAATGCAAATGTGTGACC